CAATATAATATAGGCCATGTTTCACATCACTCAAGTTACGTTTGTGATAATATGATGAACAGAAGCAAAACAATACCGTACTAATCCATACTAATAGGCTATTTGACAAGCATTTGAAAACGTTCAAACGATATTTGTTACTGTATACTAACTCCATTAAAAGTGAATAGGTACTTATTTATAATTCTGTTCCGTATATTAGTAAAATAATGTTTTCAAATATGCCGCGAAAACGTTTCTCGGCCAAATAAGAGTTCTTCCTGATGATAGGCGTTAAACGCGCGTTTTTCTAACGTACGTTGCGCGCGTTCAATAAAAACGCACGCTATCATCTGACAGACTCGAACAAAATACATGTACTTGTCAACGCGTGTTAAACGACTATCATCTGAACGTACTCTAAGGCGTCTTACAGGCAATAAAATTAACGTCTTTAAAACGTCAAACAGTACAAAGTAATGTCAGTTCGACAGCATGTTTACAAGCAGGTGACGTCATTTTAGGCTCCGCCAATGCTAGGCGCTTTCGGTCGCGTGACAATAGATCACAAAAACTTTCCTATTTCATGATTTTTAGTAATATTACCAACTAGGAACTTTTTTATCAGAAGCCAATTAATTACACATGCCACTAATTGTGACTTGATTTTTCATACTGTCAAACAGCCTATTCTACGTTTATTAGTAACTAGCTTTTGTCCGTGACTTTGCCGGCATCGACATTGGAATAAAAGCTCCAGAGTGAAAAACTATGTATGTCATTAATGATACTTTTATATATCATTATTTAATTTTTTTTGACTGAATAATATACCTATGCCTATATATATCTGATATGCTTGTATGCTTTCTCTCTCAGAATTAACAGAAATCTTATCTAAACCTAAACTAAACAATAGAGAAAGAAGTACGTGTATCCTTAACTTACTCTAGACTCTAGAGAGTGAAAAAGAGAACTGTGTTGGAAAATTCAGTTTAGAGAAACAGGCCTCATATTAGAATTAGGCTTAACAACGGGGTAAAGATGTTAAAACAACTAAATAACCATTACAGACAAACTTAGTAAAAGCCTATATTTTTTATTAATTATACAATTAGTAAGAGCATTTGCTTTGTTCTTTTTCATATTTCTATTTTCTGCAATTCCGTATTTTCACACGCTGTTTCCAAAGAATAATCTTCAAATATTAGTCACCCTTTGCATGCATTTGTAAGTTTGTAACTTGACATGTGTGACCCACAAATGATGGCATATCCATTTATGATCCACACGTGCTGTATGCATCTTTAAAACTTCACTCCATAAACTCCTATCGGGTACTAATCATAATGCATTATGACTGCATAATGCGACACGCTTATAAAGCCGGAAGTACAATAAAATAGGACTTTTATACAGACACTTGGACAGAGGATCGTTGATGTTAAGCAACTTTTGCAGTGGTCGGTCATTGGATGGGTGACCAAAAATGTACTATATCTAGCTCCTCCGTGCTTCGCAAGGCACGTTAAGCCGTGGTCCCGGCTGCATCCGCAGTCGTTAGCACCCACCAATCCGCACTGGACCCGCGTCACCACGCGGGTCCAGTGCGGATGCGGGAGATGACCATGACCCACCGGTCATGGTCATCTCCCTATTTCATCAATAGGGAAGGCCTGTGCTCCAGCAGTGGCGACATTAATAGGCTGGTGATGATACAGACACTTAGATGTCGTGTAAGGGACATTTAAGATATGGTAGGCGTTATAGAGACAATCTTGATAATGCTGAAAGTTTTCAGTAGATCAAACAGATATCGCTTTTAAATTTGAACGACAGTGTAAAGAATATAATGTTGTTTATTTAATTGTGTTTTATAATGCATTGTATAAAGATAACAGGTAATAAAATTGTATGCACGGAGCACATATCTGAAGTGAAACTTCTTTACTTAAATAACCTAACATTAGGCGGTGCATAAGGCATAGGGGAATGGAGCAGTGCATGCATCACTCATATATATCTAGTATATACATTTATATTGCCGCGGTTGACACTCGTAGCGTTTCTCAGACTTCGGCGAGTTACCCTCCAACTGCCATGCTCGTCGGGAAGAGCTGCCCACGTATCCCACACACACACACACACACACATATATATATATCTCAGTCGTGTGACTTTTCATCTTTTTCATAGAATTTTACCGTTTGAAGTTTCATTTCAAAAATAACAGTAGACGCATTCTTAGCATTCCTTGCTCTCTCTGTTCATTAGAAAACAATTAAGCTTAGGTAATTTATATCACTGTCCCTAATAGCTCTCTATTGCCCTTTGACACAACGAACTAAGATTGATAGATATCATAAAGAAGAACCGAGGCGAAAATAAGTACATTGTATATATATCTGTAGTTATACCTACGTCCTCAATTTGATATGCATATCATTGTTAACAATTGAACTCTCAAAATTCACGAAGTGGTTCAATTGCCACCAGTCTCGGATTCAAAGTCTTCATCAATATAAATTAATGTATGTGTATGACAAAGATTTCATTCCGCGAGTGTTTAATAGGTAAGAAAGATTTTATATAACAATCACGCATTAATTAATACAGCATCACGCTGCGTTTTATCGCTTGCAGGGTTAAAGTACATTATGAGGTCAAGGTGCCATATTAGCAGACATATGACTCTCATAATCACAATTCGTTGACTACAGTATAATTTGGTTAAAACCTTATTTTAGTTTGAAAAAATAAAGAAAAAGGTGACTTTTTTCTTGTTTTTTCAAACATAATTAGTATGGGTAGTTATGTTTTTATTTTTTAAGCGTTTAACTGCTAAATGTTTAAATCTAAAGAAATGTTTTACTAGAAAATAAAACTACTACTACTAGTAAAACTTTTCTTTAGATTTAAACATCTAGCAGTTAAATGCTTAAAAAATAAATAAAAACATAACTATAATTGCTATTTCTTCTTTCAAATGTCTAATACTTGAAAAAGTATTCATTTGACATTGTGGGTTACCTACAATGCGAAGAGATGGCGCTGCCTTGCAGCTTAAAGCTAGGAAAATTACGACGCGGCCATCAGGGCTGTGGTAGCATAATTGGCCAGTGCATTCGCCCGGATTGCGAAGGTTGCTGGTTCGAGTCCCGTCCCAGGATTTTTTTCTAGTAAAACTTTTCTTTAGATAATTAGTATAGATAAGAGGGAAAATACTTATTTCCCGTCCTTAGATTCTCTATCATCTTACGTTATGAAATTGAAGAAATTCAACTTTACAAATTTTCTTAATACTAAGTTAAAGGAAGTGAACTTAATCTGTCTCGTTATCTAATAAAAATAACATAGACGCTCAGTGTTATGAAAGCTCAGTGATGTTTGGACAGTGTTAAGTAAAGTTTGTCGAGAACTGTGTTTATGTTTGTTTGTCTAAAATGACGAAACAAAACAAGAGCAACCTGTTGTGTTGGTAAGTGTTGGGGTGGCTATTAGTATTAAGAATGGGAGTTTTATTAAAATTCTATTAAAGTTATAGTGCGACAAGCATCTTTATGAAAGTGGCGAAAACTGGAACTAATGCTGTCTTCTTTGTAAACGTCATATTTTGTATGTCATTACGGTCGTTTAACGTAGACAGCAGCGCCATTAAATGTCACTCACATTAATAAAGATCCTTGTCACTCGTCTTATGATTTCAATCTATTATTTTTTAATGCTGGAGTGGCTATTAGCATTAAGAATATGAGTCGGAAGTCTGTTTTAAAAAGAAAGTTTTTTTTTTATAAACTCTGACTAAAGTTTTGTGTTTCAAATGTATAAAATGATAAAAAACCTGTTACAAACATTAGGATATTTGTGTAACTTAACTTAAATGCTTTAATGTTTTACATAATGGAACATTAATATCATTTATTACATCTGGTACAGTTTGTTGTTAATTTAATAAAATATGGTTGACCGAGGAGCTCGATGGCGTAAGTGGTTGGCGCTTTCGGCTGCAAACGTTGAAGTTAAGCAACTTTCGCAGTGGTCGGTCATTGGATGGGTGACCAAAAATTTACTATATCGAGTTCCTCCGTGCTTCGGAAGGCACGTTAAGCCGTTGTACCCGGCTGCATATGCAGTCGTTAACACCCACCAATCAGCACTGGGCCCGCGTGGTGCGTCAAGGCCCAATCTCCCTATTCCATCCATAGGGAAGGCCTGTGCCCCAGCAGTGGGGACATTAATATTCTGATAGGCTGATGATGATGGTTGTCCGCAGCAATGGCTAGTTCATGGGTCATGCTCATGAACGAGTGCTGCCGGCAGCGATGAGTTTGCCCCCCCCCCCCCCCCCCCCGTTTTTTTTATTACGCAGGCAAAAACTCTATTGACAGACGTTGGCGCCCTTAAGGGGCACACCAACGAACGGACCCCACACCTAGCCTCTCGCAAGTCTCACGGGTGCGAAACGGAAAAACCGTTCAGCAGTCCGCGCGGCTTACGAGCGCTTGCGGCATACTATATGCTAAAAAACCCTGCGAATACAGTCTAAGCTGTGAAGTGGGGAACCGCGAGATCCCCGTTGAGGGACTTCGTCTCCGCACCCAACAGCCTCCCGGCCTAGCCGGGGCTCCACGACAGAGATCACCAGGGGTATCTCGGGTTTTTATTCGCGACTTGGTCTGTGTGGAAAAATTGGTTTCTCATAACTTTCACCCCCCAAAGGTGATTTCTAAGATAAAACCTTTCTCGGGAGTCAAACTATATCTTTACCAATTTTGATCTAAATCAGTTCAGCGGTTTAAGCGTGAAGAGGTAACACACAGACAGACACACTTTCGCATTAATAATAGTAGAATAGATTCATTTAAAAACTATTTTGTCGACTTGCGTTAATGAAACTCCCAAAACTTTTTCATAAGTCCGTATATTTAATTTTGTGCCCCTGTACGGTTGAAAAGTTTCGTAGTTTTAACGGATAAGTTATTCATTATTCATTTTACTAATGTGTGTTTGTTTTGTTACAGTTCGGGGCTTATGTCATCGTCGATCGAGGAGGTGAGTGGAATTTATTTATATAGTTTTCATCTCTTATATTTCTAGATCATCTAAATAAGCCAGTTTCATTAATGTAACTCCAGTAAGATATATGATAAGCCTATAGAGAGCTTTGTTGTCTAAGATGTGTTTTTTTTTAATTATAATTACACTGTTATTATACGAGTATGTTTGTCATGTATGTTTATTATATATTATTAGATAAAATGTACTTATATATGTATCAGTATACGTATTCCATCCGTTACACAAGCCTTACAGTGTTTACTTTGGGGCTAGGTAATTAGTGTGAGTGTGGAAAATATTTATTTTGTTGCTTAGAAATGGCTTAATCAATTATAATGATAGGTTTCAAAGCCATTAAATTTATTTAAAGATTTCTGAAGCACCATTTTTAAAGAAATTACTCAATTTGGCGGCGAGTTACAACACATCCATATTTTATGTGTCACTGCAGCTGGCATTTACGTAACGACAAAAATTCCACTAGCATAATAAAAAAAAGCATGCACCTATGAATAAACGAAATAAAACATTTAAATCTGTGAATTTAAAAAGTGTTAAACCTTTTCCTTTCGCGAATGTACGACATAAGAATGTACGGCTATTAAACAGAATTCTTAAATCTATTTTTAAACCAAATCAAATCTGCACCAGCGTTCCTGTCTATTATTAGGTATTGCTTTCACTTGACCATTCCACAGAGTTACTAACAGCAACACTCTGTTTAAGCTGTGTTCATACGTGCGACGAAACGAAGGACTCGATAGGGACTTTATTTATTTAGAAAAAACCAACAGTGTTACAAATAGTACTTCTATAAATAATATAAATTACGGTAGCCTGTAATTGGTTTACAGGTTTTCTTTATAATCAATAATAGGTGTGATATTAAGCAAAACAATAACTGCACAAAAACATCAGCATCGCCAAGTCCTTTAGTTTTAACAGAGACAAATGAAACAAAAATAAATAAAAAAGCAGCATACGGACAGACAGAATGACAGCAAAAGGTTTCCATTTTTAGTCTATAGTAATAACAACGACCCATTGCAAGAACCACACATTTACAATATAATTATAATTGATCTCTCACCAGATGACTTGCTATGATGACAATAGCTGTATACTACTATAATCATCATACTGCACATGCCTTCCTTATGGATGGAAAAGGGAGATTGGGCTATGACCCACCAGGCGGGCCGAGATTGGTGGGAACTAACGACTGCAGATGCAGCCAGCACCAGCGGCTTTACGTGCTTACCGAAGCGCGGAGGAACTGGAGAATTGTTGTAAATTTTTGGCTCGATTTAAGTTAAGTAACTTTCGCAGTGGTCGGTCATTGGAAGGGATGGGTGAACAAAAATTTTATGTACAAAGTCGTTACTAGTCAAAGGACGGACAAAATGTCTGTCGTATGCACGTGACCTTTATATCGTGACTTTTGAACAATGGTGTTATGACTGCGCAGAGCGCAAGCGCTTCGATATTGTTTTGTAAACACAATTTGACCTTAGCGAAAATATACGGCTATTGGCATTCGAAACTTTAGCTAAATAAAACAATGCGAAACTACTAGTAAATACTTGTATAGTCACCGAGTAGCGAACACGTTAGCGTTTCTTAGCGCTACTATTCTCAATATTATCACACATTTTTTTTTGTTGGGAAAATGCGTGACGCATACCCGCACCTGCCCCTCTAGCATGACCACTGAAACGGGATATGATAAAGCGATATATCGGCACTAACTGTCAGACTACTATGGAGTTTGACAGTAGTCTGACAGTTAATGTCGATATATCGCTTTATCATATCCCGTTTCGATGGTCATGCTAAAGGAGCTGGGTGAGAGACGGGGTTATGTGGGACTCATCCTGCCCCACATCCCGCCCACCCGCTCATCCAAACTGGCTCAGCGGCTGCTCGGGATGATGAGCCCTACCCACTAAAAACCCAACAGTGTTCCCTCGCCTGCCGGAACGGGTTTCGTGGGATCCAGATGACTCTCCACGTTACCCCCGTAGGCAGGGGTTCGTTATCTTATCCCACACCTGCATGACGAATATTCGGGTGGCTTTGGAACTAAATGCGCTAAAAGTAGCTTTCGAAATAATAAATAAATAAATATTTCTAACACTCACACCACATTAGCCTAGCCCCAAAGTAAGCACTGTAAGGCTTGTGTTATGGGATGCTAGGGTAACGGATAGAATACATATACTGTACAAACATCCATGAATGGAGTACAAATGCTCGTATTCATCACACAAAAAAATAATTTAATAAATGTGAATTAGTTCTGTCGTAATGAATTTGCAGGCTGCGTGTCTTTAGATGCTAGACGAAAGCTTGACTGCCGATAATTTGCACACTTAAAGTGGTTGTGGAAAACGATAAATTTGTATGCCGCAGCTGAAGTAACGTAGTTAATTCAAAGTTGGAACGCTAATTTTAGCTCATTTTAGTACTAAAGCCACCCGAAGCTGCGTCGCGCAGGTGTGGGAGACGCATCATAGGATTAGAGTCGCGTTGTAGGGTAAAAATAACTTCTCACTTTAGGATCAGTGCCCCTAGCACGAACCATTATCGAATTCGAATAGTTTGCAAACCGCAATGTCAATGTCAAATTTTGTATGGAAACTTGAACAGCAGCGGCACAAAGTACGTAACGAGAACTAAAATCAGTACACATTTGACAATGACATTTCGGACTCGCAAACGATACGAATTCGATGTTGGTTCGTGCTAGGGTACAGTATAATTATTTATAATTTAGCTTCACCTAGCCTAACAGTGTGTACTTAAAGATCAGAGTCCACTTATAGCAATTATGATAAATCTCAATTTAACTAAAACTAGATTATAACCCATAGAAAGACGTCAATGTCAATTTGACATGATTGTATGGGCTAAATCTAGTTTTGGTTGAATTGGTTGAAATTGAGATTTAGCAAGATTGCTGCAAGTGTACCAAATGTCTGAACTCAAATTGCACGCTTTAAATCTAGTTGCTGAAAAAAATTGTTTGTTTCACTGTCCTGTAGATGTATTAAAAAAATCGGTACCTATATAATGGAAGTTTGTAATAGAGATAACAATGTGAAATAAAATATAAGCAATATAACATTATGATAAAATATTAATTCATTTAATTTAAAAATGAAATTATTTTGTTATAAATATGTTTATTTTATTAATTTTAATTTCGTATTACACTATTGCATTAGGAATATTCCTGTAAAAATAGCTGTATGTTTTTCGATAATAAAAAAAAAATATACAATAAATATTTTGAACACTCACACCAATTAGCCTAGCCCCAAAGTAAGCACTGTAAGGCTTGTGTTATAGGATACTAGGGTAACGGAACAGTACACACATAAGTATATTTATATAGAAATACATATTAAACATCCATGACTGGAGTAAAAATGCTGGTATTCATCACACAAACATTTGTCCCCACCGGGATTCGAACCCTCTCTCTCTCTCGATCTCTCGAGTCGGCGACACCATGAAACTCGGCGTACAAACCACTCGGCCACGGAGGTCGTCAAAATAAAACTTCTCTATGCTCTGTTGAATACAACACAAGTTCAAGACTCTCTTGACTACCTCTCGGTAGTTTTTTGATAAGGTACGTTTCTTCTTCATTTTCACTGTCGTAAGGAGCAACCACAAAGTCCCTATTTTATTTCATTAATATAAATATTATACACGTTGTTACGAATTAAAAAAAACTCATTCTACATTTATAGATGACTTTGATAGCCGGTGAAGGGCTACTTAAATAAAAATCCATGCGTCAATTAAAACATTCCTGCGTTTTTCAATGAAGATACTTTATCACTAGCTATATTAACCGCGCGCGTTTTGGTGCAAAATATGCAAGCGGTAAAACAAGTAAATCTCATCCCATCCAGTAGTGCGGCACAACTGTAGCACTTAAAAAAACTCGAAGACTCTTCAACATACACTTTGACCTATCAAGGTAGACAAACTATATTATTCAGGAGTAGATATGTATGGCTATTTTTGTACCTCATGGAGCGGCGTAAACTCAGTTATTGCGAAATAATGAAACTAACAATTTTACCCTTTCATAAATTGATTCCGATAAAATTACTTTTGGAATCTATAATGGAGAATAATTCCAAAAAGGTCTGTTAACGTGTAATTACTACATTTGCGTTTAAAAAAGTGAAACTTTATTGTACTGTTTTATAACAGTTCTAGGAGGCACTTCTGTGCCTCCTAGAACTTTCTCTCTGAATTAGTGAACGGTTGTCCCACCCGTTCCAATACAAGTAGATTTTTTTTTCATTCATTGAACTGGGTTTAATCGTTAAAACGCGCGTTTAAAATACGCCAGTGTAAAGTGACACGTTTCAATCTTTAGCACATGTTTTTCGTTCCAAAACTCTTGCTGACTGACGCACATTCGTTACGTGTCGACTGTGTCCGCCATCAATTTGGAAAGTCGTTTTTCTAACCGACTTACGAAATCTGAATGAATTGATGTTGTTTTCTATAGCGTTTACACCGTCTGCTTTTCAATAGTAAATATTTAAATCCCGTCAAGAATTAAATTAGTGGGAATCATTTAACAATAAGTGCAAGTCTGAAACTAAAATATTTCTTTCAAAAGTTTTCCATACAATTTGCTGTAGCAAAATTTGTTTACTTATATTTTAATTTTTTGGAATTCTTTGCTGTTTTTACTCCTTTTAACATTACACTTTTAAACATTTATGAGGATAATTAAATTAATAAAAACTTAGCCAAATGCAGTAGTATTCATACAAACATAACAGCTTGTACTATCAGCCAATTTCATTCCTAACCCACCAATTAGCCATAAGCTTATTTACTTACAACCATTGGAAAACAATAAAATTTTACGTGATAACGTATCGTTCGCTGTTTTCTTCGGGGCAGTTTTGAGGGGCTTTCTATTCCGGTTTGTTTGAGCCCAAGCACGCCTCTGTAGATCT